ATACTCAGGTAACTCTTCTTCATACATTTTTTTCTTCATTTCTTTTTGTTTTGTTTTTTTCTTAATTTAAGATCACGTATATTATAGTTATTTATAAGGTTCCTCATCATTTTCAAGGTAATACTATTCAAACTAGCTTATATGATTCCAATATCACTGCTTTTGAGGATCAACTTGTTCTGGGAAAAACTTATACTATTTCAAAAGCTTATGTGAAGAACAATACGACAAACTACAGATATTCAACTGTCTCTCTACAATGGACAATATCTGGAGAAACTCGTATTGAAAAACTAATGAAGATAATCTAGAGTTTATATTCTCAACATATCAACCGACAAGTTTCATGAACTCGAACAATACATGGATACAGATGCTGATTTAAGTAAGATAAGATTTCATAGATTTTAAATAATCATATACTGATTCTATAGAAATATAGTTTCCTTCAAATTTGTACTACTTATGTTCAGAAAAAAAATTTGATGTCTCATTTCAAATTTCCAGATAGACTGGCAGTTGCAGTTGATATGACGCCCAAACGATTAATTCAATCCAAAGATGGCAACCAAACTTGGTTGTAAGATATCATACTTCTAGACATGAATTTCAAAACAATGATACTTACACTTTGGGATTCATTTGTTGACAAAGAATGCTTACTCATGCAGACATTATTAAAAAAAAGTTAGTCATCTTTGCAACCCGTCTAAAGGTTACATCATTTTTTGGTATGTTCTATTGTATTATTTAAACTCCTCTTAAAGCATATATTAAATCCTTTACACATTCTCCATATTGATAGTATATAGGTTTAAAATTGTCCACGAAAATCTGTTCCACTTTCTTCATAAATACACCTTTCAACGCAGTAAAACAAGTGACAAAATGATATGTACAAAGTGCTATATTTTATTATTCTTTTTTTTCCCTCTCGATTATTTTTCCACACATTACTATTGGAGTTACTAATTATCTCCATGTCTTTTGATTAGGGTAAGAACAAATTCCATTAAAATAGGTGATTTTGTATTGAAAAAATCATACATGGACAAAAGCCCCACAAATCTTTCTCCACCTATGCGAAGTAAATTCACTCCTATTCAAAATCTTCAAGGACGCCTTCTAGCGGTAATATTAAGGTTACGTGTGTTATTCAATCAGCCTGTATTTATTTCCTAATATAGAGATATATATTACAAGATATACTCAATCATATTATTTATTTTTCCTTGTAATTTTTCTAAATATATGCACACCTGTAACAGCGAAAGTTTTATTAGGTAAACGACACAACAACGATAAACAAAATTAATAGCAAATCTTGGTACATGGTCTGCAACAACTGTTTTAGACGGTCGAATGTTGATTTTGGAGAAACATATCTTTGTATTTTTTGCAAGAACCCCAATTCTAAAGCTATTCCTCGGTAAAATATACTAACAATTAATTACTTTTCATTTTTTACTTTATTTGGTGTAGGTAAAATATTTACTTATATACGACCTTTCTACTTCTCTTTATTACTCTTGTATCTATTAATACTAATTTCTTATTCACTTTAGGGCTAGAGCATATGTGCATCTTTCAGATGTCACGGGATCACTCAATGCAATGCAATTGGTGAACCAGTTGAGAAATTATTATTTACAATTTCACAATCTTTGATGGAGAAAACCAAATTTGTAAGAAATCTAACTTATCTCAAACATTTTGCCATTTAGTACATATTTTAGTAGAATAATATCAATACAATTTAAAATTAACACACAGGGTTCAAAGACAAACTTTGAAGCAATCATTAAAAAAATACAGGATACTGAACGAGCTTTCTACTTAAAAGCATCGCAAAATGAATCTAATTTATCAAGTTACAGATTTGATATCATCTCTGTAACAGACTTAGACCATCCAGGTCCAGGACAAGAAATCCAAACAAATATTGATCATACAAGTCTTAAACAAAAAATCCAAACAAAGGTTGACAGTCAGGTTGTGGTTACAGCAGTTGGGAAAAATGTTAATAAAGACTATCAAGAAGATTGGTCACCTCCAGCAAAAAGCCATTTTCAAATCTTTCAATGATAGTTTCAGTTCGAAAGTGGCTTGTGATGAAAACATAAGTTCTGACACAAATCCATTTGCTCACAAGGAAAAACTGGAATAAATGGTAGTCGAAATCTTTCCTGTAAAACCAACCTTTTGACAAGAGTATACTGTTTGGTTTTGTGAAATTTGTGCTGTTTCGTTTTGTGAAATTTGTCTCCTATGTAAATTTGATCTTGGAATTATATTTTGTTAAGTACGTGTAATTTCCTGATCAAAAGCTGACAAACAAAAAAGTAATGACAAATGATGTATATGAAATGTAATCCCTACATCATCCATGTCGAAAACTAATCATTATTTAGTTTATCTTAGCTATACTTTGTAATTAATGATGGTAATGAAGTTAATTTTTATTCTCTCTTATTTATCATTGACTGTAATACAAACACATGATTAACTACGATGAATTCACAAATCACAATCAAACACATCAATATGTATACTATTATTTCAATTATTTGCTAGTTAGGTCCTTGCCAATAATTCCATCTTCCCATATATTTTCAAACATATTCAATACATACGCTAACCAAACCATAATTCATGCACAGCTCGTGCATCGCACGTAGCATAGACCAGTATGATAAATGTAGCCATAGGTTTATATTAAACTAATCAAGTGATCACATCAAATGCTCCAAAAAATGCATATACAAGGGTGATTTGGACTTTTCACAAAAAGTGACATTTTTTAGCAGCATTTATAAAAGTGACAAGTTTTTGTGCATTTTCAAATTTTGTGATATATATGAAAATATCACTAATATTAATAATTTTGCAAGCTCATTGATCAATACTTTTCTATCCAAAATTGATAAGTTGAACCTCTATATCTATTCGACTACTACTTGAGCAATACTTGGATTGCATATTTAATTGAAAATAATATATCATGTTAACAAATTAATTTGAGTTCAGTCCTTATTTGATTTAATTAAGAAGATTGATCAAAATTCAAATTAAAATTAAAATTGAAATTAAAATTAACAATCAATTTTAATTATATATTTCATGTAATCCTCGACTTTTTAATCACACTACCATCAAATTTTATTAAAATCTACTAAAAAAAATATGATTTTTTTATCTTAATCAAACAGGGGCTAAGAAACTCATTCGAAAAAAAAATGAATTTTCAGATATCAAATAAGATAAAAAAAGAAGATTGATAGAATTCCATATAAACTATTTGGGGGAAATTAAATCTTGAGTTCCCACCTATTTCAATTTGTGAGTATGGATCATTATGTGATCGAAATCATCAATAAAAACATGAGAATCACACAAATTTAGTTGTACTGAAAAATAATGTTAAGTGGTTTGACCTTTTTACCAATGTTATAAAAATCCGACCGGACTTACTGATTCAAGAAACTCATGAACGGGCCTTTAATCCGGTTTGGTACTCATACATTAACCAAAAAAATAAAGAATCGGCTAATAAACTATCAACTCGGCCGGTTCAACATTGAACCGGTAAATTGGCCATGGTTTTTCCGGGGCGATTTAATTTAATTTTTTTTTTTACAAAAGCTTTTAACTATCTTAATGGGCCACTCATTGCAACTGAAGGCCCAAATAACTTTTTTATAAGTGATTCTCCTTTACCTCCTTTTTAAAGGAGACAATTCTTTAAGGGTGTGTTTGATTACATTTATTTTCCATGAAAAATATCAGTTTTCCACCTAAATTCTTACTTGAAGTGTTTGATTGCTATTTTTTTTCCATGGAAAACATTTTCCAAGTTTTCTTGTTTTTAAGGAAAACATTTTCCTTGGGCAGAGTTGGTTTTTATTTTCCACAAAAGATGGAAAATATTTTCTTTTCTAGGTGATATTTTCCATGTCAATCAAACACACTCTAAATGTTTTAGTAATTTTCCAAGTGGGATACTAGCTCTTTTTAAAGGAGACTCTTCTTTTAATATTGTGGTAATCTTTCAATGTGGAATAATAGCCAATTGTCAATTCTAACTTTTCAAGTGTTTAGAACATCTCCAAAAGACTCTTTAAATACAAAATACTTTCCATTTTAGAGAGTCAATGCTTAAAAATGAGATCCAAGATGTTCTCTAATTCAATTGTTTAAAGTAGAGTGTGTGTTTGATTCTCCAAATTTAGAGAGTCAAACTTACTATCTATTCTTAATATACGTTGATTGCATTTAATACATTACAAATTTCAATACTCTACAATTAAAATTTTTCAAATTACATTTGAATTGATTGGTCATTAATATAAAAAAAACATATATATTTAAATAAGATATGTGAGAAATTATTAAATGTTCATTGAAAAAAAATAAAGAATTAAAATAAAGAACTTGTTGAAGTGTATAAAAAAATTACTTTCTAAATTTAAAGATACTCTCTATCATGTATAAGATACTCTTGATAAATTGAGAATCTTTTGAAAATCCTCTTACTAGTTTACTTTATTATTTTTATCAACAAATTATAAACCCTAACAAGATTATAATTTTCAATTTGAACAAAACAAATTATTTTTGACATATTAATTGTTAGTTTTTGAGATTATAAAATAAATTACTATAATAAATCTAATTAACAAACATGGATTATACTTACTTTGAATGAGAAAACTAAAATTTAAAAATCTATTATAATTATGATATTTTATAGTTTATTTGTGAATTTATTTATTTATTTAATCCGTCATCCAGTTCGACCCTCTTTATTTTATGAGTCGATGCTCGGGTCGATTTTTAAAACATTGGTTTTTACACTCTAACTTTGATTTAACTAAAAGACTCGTACAATTTTCCATCTACACTAACAATTTTTTGAAGATTCAGAATCTTACTTCTGAAAGATAAATGGACCCTATCCGTCTAGGGGGTTGAATTGGAGAGAGGGCGCCAATTAGGACGAACGAACGGAACTGGGGGAGCCCAATCCCGGATTTTTCCAACTACTTGAGGGCATGACAGTAATTGTATCTAAATTAGGGTTTTCTTGTGAGCTCTTCTGCCGTCCCTTCTATCACTATATATTTGTGGCTATACCCTCCATATTGTATGGTAGGAATTTTACAGGAGCGGCTGGCGATCACTGACCAACCTCAGCATCATATGTGTACTTTTTCATCTTCTGATTTCTGAGATCTCGTTTTAATTTGCTCCGGATCATTTTCATTTTTCTGTTTCGATTAAATTATACAAAATCAAACTATAAAAGCTTCTGAGGTTGTTGATTTCTGGCTTGGTCATTAGTCTTTAAGCATTTTAATTCTTTATGTTTCTCAATTTTTATTTTTTACTTTGATAAATTACTGTGGAAATGAGACGGCAACAAATTAGAGTCACTGATGCACATAATTATCGATGGTGCATACAGCGCTGTACGTTGCCAATAAGAATTAATTAGGCGCTGAGATTCTGGCACTGTTTCTTTTCCTCCGAAGCTTGTGCATTCAGATGCGCTTACATTTTACATCAAGTTCTCTTGAAAATCAAGTTACTTCATTCGCCAATATATCACAACAAATTCTCTTAAAATCAGTTTCTTTTTCCCCCTTTTCAAATTACCTTTTTCCCCCTCAAATAGTTGAGAATAGTAATTTTGCATAAGCTATGAATTTATGTAGTTTATGTTGTCCAGATATTGATATCTACATGAATGAAATTGAAATTATAAAATTCAACCGATCGGGCATAAATATTGTAATCAGTTATAATGTTTTTGCCTCAGTTGTGATATGTGCAAATACTATAGCTATTTATGCTAACATGAAAGGGAAATAAAAAGGATAAATCTTCCGTTCTATTGCAACCCAAATACAAATTGGATTTTGTTGAATGTATAGCATTTGTTATACAGTAGTGTTTACTGCCCTCACCCAAGGGTGGGCTCTTCAATTATTTTAATAGTGGACCCCACCTGATGTATGTGAGTGTGTGTGAACAATGCTGTACGTATAGCATGTTCCATACAAATTACACTTATGTTTAAAAGTATAAATTGATATTTTGGACATTGATTTTCATGGCAGAATTTTGTTCAGAGATATCAGGCGGTCGATAATGGAAAAATTTATGAGCAGGCGGTCGATAATTCCATCGAAACCTTTACCTACTGCTTGCTGGTACAAATCCCACATTACGAGGTTGTTTTAGCTCTACTGTTTTCAAAATCAAAAAATGCATTTTGAATTAGTGTAATGATAGAGGATTTGTGATTATAGAATAATGAAAATTTTTGATTTTGCTTATAATATTATTATATTGAAAAATGTGTGATTGAAATAGAGTCAAAATGTTATTAAAGAATGTATTATTTTTAAAAAAAAAAAATTGGGACTCTAATCTTAGGTGCAATTGCAATCTCAGTTCGAAACATTTCATTTAATAACAAATTTGATCCAAATTTTTTATTAGTATCAACGTATGTACCAAAGAATTAAAAAAATTGCATCTCAAGTCCAAAATCATGAATTTGACTCCAAAATCCATAGTTGACCCTAGAAATTAAATTTTTAATAATTTTTCCTAAATAAGATATTGGCATTTTGGACATAATACATTTTCTCTATTAAATCAAAGTTAAAAAACAAAAACAAAACCCCCCTACAACTCATTTCCTTCTTCTTCAACCCCTAACCCCAAAATCAAAATCA